TAAAGATTTTATTTATTTATTTGACAGAGAGAGACAGTGAGAGAGGGAACACAAGCAGGGGGAGTGGGAGAGAGAGAAGCAGGCTTGCCGCGGAGCAGGGAGCCCGATGCGGGGTTTGATCCCAGGACCCTGGGATCATGACCTGAGCCCAAAGCAGACACTAAACCAACTGAGCCACCCAGGTGCTGCCCCTACTCTCTTACTTTTGAAATAAACTCAGAACCTCAATTTTCAGGACTCATTAAATTCTATGTTTTAAAAATGCTATCCCCGAAGGAACTTTTTTGGATATACTAGTTGACAGTTACTGCGATTATGTCATTAATTGATATATTTGATATCATCAAAAATGACTTTAGCAGATATTCTCTTTCTTGGTTTGTAGGTTTGGCAGAATGGCATGTTCCTGCTGCTGGAATGTTTTTATGGGTTAAAATTAAGGGCATTTCTGATATAAAACAACTGATTGAAGAAAAAGCCATTAAGAAAGAGGTAAAATGGGGGGGGTTATACTTTTTCTTTAAAGTGATTTTTCATTTAAAATAAAAATGAAGAGAGGTGTTTATCATTGCCCTCCATCCCAACCCATAATATTTTAATATCAGATGTTATCTGATATTTCTATATCTAATATTTCTAATAATATTGTCTCATTGTTAAAATCATAATAGATTTTTGAGTTACATAATTCTTCTTCTGGTCTACATTAATGGAAATACAGCCGTTCATCTCAGCTACTGGTTAGTTTAGCGACTAAGAGCAGAGGGCTTTTCCCCTCTGATTTAAGAAAGTAAAGCATGCTAGCAAACTTGGGAAATTCGTAACAGTATAATGAAAAATGTTTAAGTAGCCCATCATTTCACCACCCCGATTTTGTGGCCATTTGTAGTATATTTTCTTGAAGAGCTCATCTACATGTAGTATTTTGGCTGTGCAGTTATTTTCCATGGTTAAAATTACACAGAAAAGTTTGTATCCTGTTATTTTCACTTAAAATTGGCCTGTAAGGATTTCTTCCAGGATTTTCTTTTTCTCCTTTTGTCCTTAAATCTACTTACTTATCATTTGGGGGCATTGATTAAGGTGGAAAATCTAAATATTTTTCTGTGTAGCTGTCCAATTTACCCAATAAATTATCCTTTCTCCATGAATTAATGCTTTTGGCACATTTGCCAGTCTTTTGTAAGTACTAAGATCTGTTTCTAGGATCGCTTTTGTTTTGAAGCAATAATTACGAGCGAACAGATTGTGTTGATGCAAGCACAGGACCATGCTAGTACATAAGAGATGAGGTTGTTTGGACGCTAGAAAATTGCTATCTAGAGGTTAGACCTGGGAGCTGACTACCTGGACTTTGAGTCATGCATCCTCTCTAACCATCTTACTTGAGGGCAGGACTCACGCTTTATTCATTGTTCTAATCCTACTAATTCTACACAGCAGGTACTTAGTAAATACTGACTTATTTCAAAGAAATACATTTTAGTATAATAAATCAATGTTGTGTTTTCTTTGCCTTTCTGTCAATGCCATTATCATCAGGATCATTTGATAAGTGGCTATCTGTATGTATCTCTGAGGTAGGTGCTGAGGACATAGACCTCAGGTTTTCTCATAGTTTTTTTGGTGCTCTCCATCTATCCCATATATCCTGCTGCATGTAGCCTTTCTTTTTCTAAATAATCTCCAACTTTACAACTACAACTTTAGCCCAGTTGTTCTGGTCGTCTTATAAAGAGATTATCACTACTCCCTCCTTCTCTTACAGCTCCTCGCTTATAGTATACACCCCCAGTATTTTCCACTATATTGGGAGAAATGATGGTTTTCATTTGATTATTAATCAGGACAGAAACCCGTCTTCTGCCTTGAAATCTCTTCCCCAGAGTGCCCCAAACCATTTCACTCCCAACTCACTTTACTTTAGTAGGCAGTGCCCAGATGTATACTACATAACAACAATGAATGCTTTTGAATTGCATGATTGTACTACATAACATCTCAAAGACCTACCACAATCAAAGTTCATTTCTGACTCACATAAAACTTTCAAAGATGTGATGTGCAAGCCACCTCTACTCCAACAAGCAATTCAGAGACTCTACTTCCTTCCTTCTTGTTGCTCTTCAGCCTTCAACACATGGATGATTCCACAATGGCTACAAAATGGAAAGAGCATGATGGATCACATGTGGGGAGATTTTTATGGGCAAGGCCTAGAAGTGGCATGCATCACTTCACATCCATTGGCTAGGATTCGGTCATATGGCCACACATAACGAGAAAGAACCTGGGCAACAGAATATATTTGTACACCCAGGAAACAGAGGGAATGGAGGTCGCAGTTAGTGAGCCATCTGCCACAGTGCTCACATCAAGAATAGCAGTTGTTCACACAACTCCGTCTTGACATACATAACATTTTTATTCATTCACTTTATGTATTAAAATTTCTACCTCCTTTCAGTTCTTTGACTGCACCAATCTTCTTCCCATCTCAAGGCCTTTACACTGTCTTCCCCCTAATATTCTTCACCCACTTTTTGCTCGGCCATCACCTACTTATCATCCAAGTCCCAGCTTAAAAGCCACTTCCAAATTTGGTAACTTAAAAATGGTCTCTCATTGTTTGAATTTATATAACTTCTTGGTTAACCATTTATTCATGTTTATTACCATTTCTATTTCTTTTATAAGCTGTCCTTTGCCCGTCAAAGTAGGAATTTGAGTGTTTTTCTTCTTGGTTTCTGTGTATTCTTTAAATGGAGAAGAGGTAGCATTTGCCATATTTACTATAAACATTTTTTCAGGTTATGTGCTTTTAGTTATGTTATTGTAGGACATACAGACTTTTTACATAAAATGATTTTTCTCATGATTTTTTTAATTGTTTTTAAATATTAAAAGGCTTTCCCCTCTCTGAGATTGGATCTACCTATATTTTCTTTTAGTAATTCCCTTATTTTCCATAAACTCTCTTAGATATTAATGCTTCCTGGAAATGTCTTCTACATTGATAGCTCAGCTCCTAGCCCTTACTTTAGAGCGTCCTTCTCTTCAGCTTCTCCAGAACAGATGGATATGGTGAGTACAATATTCTCTTCAGAGTAACACCAGATATCAATTCTATTTTTTGGTGCATTTGTTCATTTTGTGAGTTATAACATTATTTAATGTCCTCTTGGGTTTCTGAAAAACAGGTATCACTTGAAAAGTCATGAATTACTACTAAAAGACACACTTTAGTGGCAACAAATAGACAAAGGCATGAGACCAAGCTGGAGTTAAACTCCATCGTCTTCGTGAACTGTTTTCAGACTTACTGAACCGCGCTGGCAGATTACTAGCATGTTATGAAGAAAACTTCTTTCCTTCCTTCATGGAATTAGTATGAGCTAAATTCAGTACAAATTCATGAAAGCCATCAGTCTCTTTCTCAGAAGAAAAATATATCAGCAAGGGTCAAATACAGTAATATTCTTAAATTAATTACAAGTCTGGGTTCAGCCAAAATAACAGGAAGCAAAGAAACAAGTTCCTAAGGACTGCATGTCTGGGAGTCCAAATAGAAGAGTCATAAATTGAACAGTGCCATTAACCTTGAGAAGAGTCTGTACTTGCCCTCACAGATGGATTGGTTCTTGGTGTTCTTTATTTAGTTGCTTTCTCATATCATTAAATATGCTTTACATAAGTAACCTCTGCTTTTACATATGAATAGGCAATTGAAATGATATAGAGTGCATATGCAGGTGGGAGATTATATGAAAGAATAACTTGTGTTGTGGGGAAAATGGAAAATAATGATCTTGAGGGCTATAAGAACAAACAGAAATCCTGGGAATCTGATATGCTTATATCTACATATATTAGTGAACATTGATGGCATCCTACCCAGATAAAGCTGATGTTAAATTTGACTTTTGATTGCCTTTCTCAACCTAAGATGAATACTCTGTTTGAATTTTTTAAAATTATCACAGACTTTTCCTAAGCAGCATCCTGATTTCATTAATTCTTGTCTCTTTTCTATTTCAGGCCTTCCAGAGATTAGCCCAGCTTATTAAAGAATCTTTATGAAGAGATCAAACTCTTTATGAAGAAATCAGAATCTTCCATGGGTTTTTCACATAAATTATTTTTAGCTTTTAGCAGGAAGAAATGATCATTGGCATTAGACTTACAGATTGGATTTCAATAAGCATGTCATATCTGCAGTAATTTAACTAGACAACTTTTATTTTATTTTATTTTTTTTTTTAAAGATTTTATTTATTTGAGAGAGAGACTGAGAGAGAGAGAGCATGAGAGGGGGGAGGGTCAGAGGGAGAAGCAGACTCCCTGCCGAGCAGGGAGCCCGATGCGGGACTCGATCCAGGGACTCCAGGATCATGACCTGAGCCGAAGGCAGTCGCTTAACCAACTGAGCCACCCAGGCGCCCTAACTAGACAACTTTTAAAGTGCCCTTAAATTCATCAGATTGACAAATTTATAATTCACTTATACCTTTTGATAAATTTTCACCCTGCAAAAAGTATTTTTATCCTGGATTTTATTGTAAGGAACTCCAGTTGCTTTATGGTTTCCCATAAATTTTCCTTGAAGCTAACATTTTACCATAAATTATTTTGAAAATGTAAGAAAATAAATTAAATTCAAAATGGTATATAATGTGAACTTTTTCTATTTTTAGGAAAATTTAATGAAAGCTTATTGCAAAAAATTGTTAGAATTTGACTATTATAAATGATTTTCAGTAAGAGTACCACAGACATTGTGTTGTACCATAGAAATCCCTTTAAAATAAAATTCTGAAACTAAGCACATACCTAAAGGCATTAGACCTATTCCTTTTTTTTTTTTTTTTAAGATTTTATTTATTTGACAGAGACATAGCGAGAGAGGGAACACAAGCAGGGGGGAGTGGGAGAGGGAGAAGCAGGCTTCCCGCCGAGTAGGGAGCCCTATGTGGGGCTCCATCCAGGACCCCCAGGATCATGACCTGAGCCAAAGGCAGACGCTTAACAACTGAGCCACCCAGGCACCCCCAGACCTATTAATTCTATATAAGGAAGAAATCAGAGACTTAGAAAAATGTGCTACACTGTATTTTCATAATACTACACAATTCACAAAAACACATTCTTATCAGTTATATCATTTAAATCTGCTACACCCCTTTGAGGTACTTAGGCTATACTTTCTAATGATTTTCTTTCTCACCTTTTCAGATCTTTATTCTTCCTATCTGATTATTAAAGTAATATATGCTCACTAAAAAATCTTCAAACAATAGCATGTAAGCAGTAAAGTAAAAGCTACTTGTTATCTTACCCCCAGTGATAACTGCTGTCAGAATTTAGCATCCGTCCTTTTAGATGTTTTTCTATGCATGCGCCTATTATATGTAAAAGAATGAGATCTCATTACGACAGAGTATCATAAATACCCTGTATTTGCTTTCTATTGCTGTGTAACAAACTACCAGTGTTCCAAGATCCAGTAATCGTTAAAGTTATAAGTTCCTTTAAGGAATTAGGAAGTTCTTGTTTATGACATCTTTTGTGTATACAGGCATACCTCAGAGATATTGTGGGTTTGGTTCCAGACCACTGCAAAAAAGCAAATACCGCTATAAAACAAGTCAAATGAATTTTTTCATTTCCCAGTGCATATACAAGTTCTGTTTACACTATACTGTAGTCTCTCAAGTGTGTGATAGAATTATGTCTAAAAAGCAACATACATGCCTTAATTTAAAAATACTTTCTTTCAGGGCTCCTGGGTGGCTCAGTTGTTAAGCGTCTGCCATC